GGGGGGGGGCGCCGCGGGCCGCGGGCGGGTCGCCTCCTGGCCGTGCAAGTGAACTGCATGGAGGGGCCGCCCGCCGGGCCAGCGGCTCGGGCTATTGATTGCAGTCTCGGGGCTAATTGAGCTCGACCCCAATGCGAGTGTGGTTCGGGTCGACGGCCTGGCCTGGCCTGGACCAGCATACGGCCCGCACCCGCAGCCGAACTGCCGCCACGCACTGTATTTGCACCCCCTCCGCCTCTCGTCTTTGACCGTCCCACTGTGAGGTTGAAAACTGTCTTGCTCCCCCGTACGGAAGTCTCTAGGTTGAACTGCACTGCTTATTTGTTCTCCCTCTCGGCTCTTTTTGTTTGGGACGAGCCCCCCGTGCGAGTCGCGCCCCCCGTCTTTGTCTCGGCAGGGGCGTGTTGCGTTGCGGGGCGCTGGCCTCCACACTCGGACGCCCGAAATAGCAACACACAACACACACACTCACTTTGGAAACGGAATCTTAGCGAGGCGCAAACAAATCAGCGACGATTCCTGATACCAAATGTCTTTGTTCGAATCGCTCAGAAACATTTCGGCGGACGGATCAGATCCTACTGCAGCTGCCCCGCGCGGTTCGTGACCATCTTCTCGTCGAACTGATGGCAGGTTGTCACGTATAGTTGTGCGCGGGAGCGGCCGCGGCCTGGGGGATCAGAGCGAGCGGGAAGAAGCGACGAGGGGGATGACGTTCGGTGTGTCACGCAACACTACTCCAGATCGGCGGTGAGACATCATCGCGGGAGTAACTCGTCTCAGTCACGTTCTTATCCAAACAAAGTGGGAACAGTGAGGGCACTGGGGCACGGACGCATACAAACGGCGAGGTAAGAAGTGGATAAGGAATTATGCAGTTCCTGGAATTGAAAAGGTACGCGACAATTGAGACTTGCCTCGGTGGAAAACCCCCGATTTTGTAGAAATACTGTATCGCGTGCAGATGTGCGAACGGGGTTGCCTACCCTCTCCAACAAAGGCGCCTGGGGGCCCCCTAAAGCGCGGTTTGGTGTAACCATATGATAGTAGGACCTACTATCATGGTGTGACAAACTGCGCGCGGTTTGGTGTAACCATATGATAGTAGATCATGGTGTGACAAACTGCAACCACGCTGAAATTTTGATTCCCTCAATTTAAGCATGCTTTAAACCACGATCGTGCGCCCATAGTTCATGGCCCTGAAAGGAAATCGAACTCGCCGAACTGACCGAGGGTCAACCCGGCGGACCCGTGGGTCGCGGCCGGGGCGTGCGTTTGGTCGTCTTTGTCATGCCACGCATACAAGATGGAGCAGCGAGACAGAACCGGTGCGAACAAGTTACTCGCCCCGCACTCAAGGTGCCGGGTGGGATTTGGGACCGCGCGCACTTCAGTTTGTAAATAGGGATTTTAAATTGGAAATTTTTCCAAAAGAAAAGTTGGGGAATCCATTTCCAGAAAACATAAGAGAAAGTAAAACTTTTCAGACAAAAGATGCAAACATTTTTAAAAATCTTGAAAAATTTCGCCAAAATGCATCATTGGAAGAGGAGCATCCCCCCTTGTAAGGTTTTAGTGCACCGGGAAGGCGGTGCGTCGCACTGTCCTCCGGTTTCTCTCCCGCGCGCTGAATTGCTTCGGGAAAGAGTCGTTGAAACCGGTGCAAAACTGTACAACGGCCGCTTGTCGTGTGGTGCTCCGGCCCCAGGCCCCGGCACCGCATTCTGTTGAGCCGTACAATTCGTACAGTGGGTGTCCCTTCTCGCGCCGTACCCGCCGTACCTGTCGCTGTAACCTTGTGTGCGCACGCCGCGCGCGGGCTTCAAAAAACATGTTTGTGCCGAGCCGAGAGAGCCCCCCAAAGATGAGAACAGGCCACACATGGTGGTCGGAGCGGGAGCATTAGCACTAGATAATATGACAAGCCACGAGGCTCGCCCGGCACCCGCGCGCTGGCGTCCCCCCCCCCCT